GTTTACTGAAGGATAGCACCTTCAAGAAACAGTGTAAAGCAATTGGATATTACTTGGCAAAACACAATGACTTGAATAAAATTAGACTCAAAACTAAGCAATTGGGAATGAAAAGGGGAAAATCACAACAGAACCTGCAGGAATCCACAAGATCATCAACACCTACTTCAAGAAACTTTACCCTAATAGGATAGAAAATACAGAAGAAATGGACATATATTCCTAGATATATATGAACTACCAAGGCTAAACAAAGAAGATATAAAAATTCTAAATAATCCAGGATCAGTGAAATTAAAGAATAAAAAAAAAAATACCAACAAAGAAAAGCCCAGGTACTGATGGATTCAATTCCAAATTCTACAAGAAATTTAGAGATCTAGTGCCACTACTCATCAAACTTTTTAACAAAATTCAAAGGGAAGCAACACTCCCAAATTCATTTCTGGAAGCTACCATTATCCTGATACCAAAACCAGAGCAAGATCTAACAAAAACAAATAAACAAACCACCTACAGGCCAATCTCCTTTGTAAAAATAAGAAAATCCTCAATAAGATACTGGCAAAAACAATGTAGCAAATCATCAAGAAGATTACACACCACGACCAAGGAGGATTCATCCCAGGGATGCGGAGATGGTTCAACATATGTAAATCAATAAATGGTTCAACAGATGCAAATCCACATGTCCATCTCTGTAGATGAAGCAAGCACTTGATACAAGAAACATGCATCTCTATCTGAGAAGTGTGTATTCATCTCAGCTATCCATTTCTTGGACTGGGTCTTTGAATTTGGGGGGAGGTTGATGTTTTTTAATTCTTTATATGTTCTGAATAGAAGTCCTTGATCCGAGGCACAGTCAGCTAAAATTTTTTTCCCAATTTGTGGGTTTTCTTTTTACTCTGCTGGTGATTTCTTTAGATGTGCAGAAACTTTTTAGTAGGATGAGATCCCAGTTGTTGATTCTTTGAAGTACTTCCCGTGCAGTTTGGTTTTTGTTCATGAACTCTCTGCCTACCCCTATGTCTTCAAGGTTTTTACCTACTTTCTCTCCCAACAGATTTAGTGTTTCTGTTTTAATATTGAGATCTGTGATCCATTTTGATTTGAGTTTGGTGCATGGTGATAGAGACCTGAAAGAGTGAATAAAAACTAGGAGCTATGAAAGACCCTGTGAAATGAAAGGAAAATACTCAAAAGTAAAGGGTAACTGGGGTGTGGGAAAACAGCAGGGAAAGAAGGGGAAATTATGTATGTATTTATAGGATAGCTAACATAGTTGAACTACTGTCTTCTATAGCTGTACTGAAAGAAACAGTTAATAATTACTTGATTGATCAATCTTGCATGGCTCTATTTGTTTTCCTGAGAAACCACTTTGAAGATATCAATATGTAATATAACAAGCATTGTTAATTTCCTACCACTTTGTTTATAACTGTATTGTTTTTATTGTTCTTTTGCTATTTTGTAAACAGTTGCCTGTTAATGTGTTTTCCTTCTTTTATTTTTAAAATAAATTAAAAAAACAAATTTACCATATTTTTCCTTTTATGCATCCTGTTTTGGTGTCATGTCTAGTAATTCTTCACAAAGGCTTAGGCCCTGAAGATTTTCTCTCATAACTGTTTACATTTTACTTTCAAATGTACAGCTATTTTGAGATAATTGGTTTAAAAAATTTTAAACACTAAAATTCTATGAGATGCACTGATAACATGTGTAATGTTCACATAAGGCTGAACACATCTATCTGCTCATTTTTATATGAGAACATTCAATCTTTTCTTCTAGTTTTATGAAATAATAGTGTATCGTTGTATTAGTGCTTACCGGAGCTTACTGGGCTGAGGTAAGGCTCCTCAAAAGACTGCACACGCTCTGAACCAGATTTAATACAGCACACAGAAATTCACAGGATTGGCCTACAGTGGCCACCCACGGAGTCACATGTAGAAGAGTGCAAAAGATCTGTCCTAACACTACAAACCCGAAGGATCCAGCTCAAGGCCTGGAGCCCACAGCAACGTCCTGTACAGGTCCACATCAGGAGGCCATAGGACCCATGACAAAAGACTGAGGGGCCGCCCTGGGAGGCGGAAGTGACCGTGCTAGAGGCTGCAGTCTGTGTTGGCAGGCCAAGAGGCCAGCGCTGGAAGCTGAAGAATCTGTGTGGAAAAACAGGAGGATGCCCAAGGAGAAGGCAATGACAGGAGCTCTTCAAAGATAACAGCCAAAGCTCCTCAGAAAAATCAGCTACTATGGAGCTCTTCCAAGGAAAGTCAGCTGAAGTCCTTCCCTCCGGTGTTCCAACCACAATCATCCCTAAAGTGGGGCTTCCATGCCCAGAACACAATTCTGCTGGGTGTTCCCCAGTCAAGTTGACGATCAACTAAACACCACAATCATGGTTTCATGCAGTCATCTACTTACAGTAACAGCACACCAGAACTTCATCCTCCTCCATTAAATTTGCTCTGTGACATTAAGGCCAAAATATTTAACCCAGGAGTGTCCAATTTCTTCAGCACCATTTGTTGAAAAGGCTATTGCCCTCTATGGGATTACCTTTGGATATTTGCCTAAAGTCCCTTGGGCATAACTGCATGGGTATATATTAAGTTTTCTATTCTATTCCATTAAGGTATTCTACTGGTACCATGTCTTCCTGATTACTGCAGCTACATAATACATCTCAAAGTCAGGTAGTGATTTCCTCCGCTTTATTCTTCCTGAAAAAATTTAAAACCATTCTAGTTCCTTGGCCTTTCTGTATAAATTTTAGAAGAATCTTGTCTTTATCATCAAAATATTTTGCTGTGCTGTTGATAGGACTTTTGCTCCGTAGGTATGGAAACAACTGATATTGAGTATCTGAATTCACACTATCACTTGTTTAGATCTTTGATTTCTTTAATCAGTGTTCTGTAGATTTGGTACACCAATACTGTACAAGTTTTGTCAGATTTACATCTAAGTAATCTTTTTTGGAGCAACTGTAAATTGTATGTTAAATCTTGTTTCTATAGATTTATTACTATAACGTATAGAAGTACGACTGAGTTTTTATGTTGATCAGAGACATTGCTGAACTCAATAATTCTAGGTTTGTTTCTTTCTTTGTCTTAGAGATAACATTACTTCTTCCTTTCCAATCATTTGTATACTTTTTATTTCTTTTTATTGCCTCACTGTGCTGGCTACAAGTTTCCCTATTAAGAATATTGGTACAGTTTATTCTTTGGGGTTTTTTGTTTTGTTTTGTTTTTTGTCTTTTTGAGAGAAGATTTTGCATGTAGCTCAGGCTGGCCTTGAACGCCCAGTGATCCTCCTGTATCAGCAACTCAAGTGCTGAGATTGCAGGCGTGTGCCAAAAAGGGGTCCTTGCCTTATTCTTATCTAAGGAATAAGTATTGTCTTCATCATTAAGTACAATGTCAGTTGTAGGTTTTTGATGTTTTTATCAAATTAAGGGACTTCCTGTTTATTCCTAGTTTTGAGGGTTTTTTCTTTTTTAATGAGTAGGTGTGTTGAATTTTGTGAAATGATTTTCATACTTTGAGTTATATGATTATGTGATGTTTCTTCTTTAGCCCATTCATATGGTGACTTACATTGATGGATTTTTAAACACTGAATCACTTTTCTGTATTTTCTGATCAATGTCCCTCATAAACATAGACACAAAAATACTAAATTGAATTTCAGTAAATTCTGTTAATTTTTCTATTGGTGGCATCACAAACTACCACAAATGTCATGACTTAAACAAACAGCGTCCTATAGTTATGAACAATTCAATATGACCCGGACAAGGTCAGGTGTGGATACAGGTTGTTTTCCTAGAGGTTTTAGGGGAGAATGACTTTCCCATCTCCAAGGGCCACTTTGATATCTTAAACTGATGTAAAACATTTACCTCTCATGTTCACTTTGACTTTAGGGTACAGCCAGAATTTGCATAGTGCCAGGTCCAGTGAGAAAGGTGGATAAGGACACAGCATAAAGTTTTTATTTGACAGATAATGCTATAAATGACTTGAATCATCAAGACAGCCACAAAACGATGCTTATGAAAGACAACTTCCAGAACTGCTTCAGAAAGTGCCAAGAATGATGGGATAATTGTGTTCAAAGTGAGAAATATTTTGAGGGAGATTAATGGCAATGTGTTACTGTAATAAAATTTTAAAATTTAAGCATATTTTTTATCATACTACAAGCATCCTTTGATTTACAGTCCCCTTCTTCCATATTTAAAGCTAGTAGTGTAGCATCTTCAGATTTTACGGATCTAACTCTAACTCATTCTATCTCCCTTGTATAGGAATCTTTGTGGGTACATTAGCTCCATGTAGACAGTCCAAGATAACCTTCCAACACAAGATCCTTAACATTTGCAAAATTCCTTGGTGAGAAATTCAAAGGTTCTGGACAGATGAACATCTTGAGGGGCCATTTTCAGCCTATCACATTTCTTTTGCTGTACTATCTTTTTGGGTTTAGGTATCAGGGCAATACTGCACAATCTCATTTTTATTTTTCTGTCAAAATTCTGTTGTGATGTATTACATTTCATATTTTATTTTTTTTACTGTTGCTTCCCTGTGAGTTACTAATACTGTGAGGAGTGTTAGTCTGCAAAAGTCAGTGCAGACTGTATTTCTGAATATAGGTAGAGTGTCTTGTCATCTAATTTAATAACAAAATAGAAAGAAAATACACTTCACTGTGCCTTAAAAGTATGACTCATTGGCTATTTTTCTTCTCTTGTTTTGACATGTGCATATGTAGATATTTTAAAAAAACTGTATTGATGCAGTACTTATACTCTTGAAATGCTATCAAGTTGTAAGTGTGTCATTATGATTCATACTGTGCCAGGCAACAGTGCCAAGTGATGAGAACACATTTGGTCTCCGCTGCGATGACTCAACTACACTACTGTGGTGTGAAAGCAGCCATAAACAATACACTTTGTAAATGAATGAACATTACTGTTTCAATAAACTTTATTGATGTACATTAAAATTTGAATTTCACATAATTCCCACATGCCACTGAATATTATTCTCTTTTTGATTTTTAACCATTTAAAAAGCTTCCTTACCTTGCAGGTCATTTAAAAATGGGTGGTAGGCCAGATTTGGCTGTGGGCTATCATTTGCCAACCAATCTTAATCTCATGGAATCTACATTCTGAAGCGATGAGAAAAACGGATAAGAAAAATTGGCCGGACAAACCAGGTAATTTTATGTCTTGGGAAAGTACATAGTAAGATGGTCAGAGAATTTGTCTGTGAAGAAATGGTTAAAGGTAAGCCTGAATGAGGAGCCATCTATGAGGAAAACTGAACACAGACTATTCTAGAGAGAACAGCAAGAACAAAGGCGGGAGGCAGGAACAAATTTGGTCAATTAGTGTATGACAGGAATATAGTAAAGCGGTGAAGTGATGTGGGACTATTCAGGAGTTAAAATAAGAAAAATAACATCATTGTTAAGAAAGCAACTTATCTGACCACAGCAAGAATTATAAAGCCTAACTGTGCTGAGTTTGTACTGCAGCCCCTTGTTAGTTTATATCACTACACGAAGCATTGTAAATAGGGGGATGTTTTGATATTTGGCAAATCATCCAATAAAAGTCTTTTCTGTATCATCAATAAGAATAGATACAATTAGACCACACAGTTGTTTCATTAGGTGATCATCCACAAGCTATGACGCTTTATTCTATACTTGTTTACAATACAAATGTGTTGTTCACTGGATCCTTCTTAAAACCATTTATAGTAGTTTTATGTAAAAAGTCTAGTTCTTAAAATAAAATTTAAAACAGTAAGTCCTTAGTTTATATCTTCTTTTTATACTGATTGATTTGTGTATGCCAAACTTGTTCTAGTTTCTTCCAAAGCATTGGAAAAAATCATTTTAAAGTTTGCATTGATTTGTGGCAATATCTGTATTCAACAATCAAATGCTACACTATTTCCTTTTAAGTGGCTATGCACTTAATTACTTTCACTTGTTCAGCAATTAATTAGTTTCAGAGACTTCTTATTTTGGTATTGAACCTGACTATTGATAGTTGAAGCAAAAACTGTGTCAAGATTGCAATATATGTTTTCCAATCATAACACATAAAAAGTTTTCACATCTGAAAAAAGCTCTCCATTTTTCCACTGTAATATCATCTAATATCTTTCATAATTGTGAAATATCCCTCAAGTAGTTTCTTGTTTTCATTTATTTTCTCCAGTATTGCTTCTAGTAAAAATGAGGCAAAAGGAAGCTGTAAGAGAAACATACAAAAAATGTTATCAAAACTCTGTATTTTTTCAGTCCAAAAACATCCACTAAATTATAATCACACCATTAGAATTTAGCTATCTGTAACTCTACACCCATAAGGTCACCCTACCAGATTTCTTTTCAACTGATCTTGCTGGTTAGGGTGGATAATTTTGTCTTTTCTAATAAAAATGATAAAAGAGCAGAAGTAAAATGAAAAAAGATAAACGCCTTATTGAACAATTCATGGTTTACTGACCATGTTAATGATGTAATCTGCAATACAAGCAGCTAAGCCATTTATCTTCAATCAGCTGATCAATAGCAGGTTACAGTCATCTCTAGGGCACTCAGGCTCACAGAAGTGGTACTGTATGTTCATCACTCATAAAAGAATGAGCGAGAACTATCAATATGTTGGTCTGTGTGAGAGCTGAACATCTAAAGAGTTGCAGGATAAAACTTCAGGGGAAAAAAATGGCAAAAGTATACTCATTGATTAAGTTGTTAAAGTTTGTTTGGTATATCAAAGTGTAATATGCATGTTTCAGAAACTGCTGAGTTTATGAAATGTGAGTATATTTTAAAATTTTGTAATTGACACAACTTTTCTGGTGGTTTTATTGTTCACTAGCTCGCAGGTAGAACTTAGCCTCACACAATAAAGTTAGGGGTGTTCAGAAAGTCTGAAAAGTTGCTCCAATCACCTCCCACAGCCCTAATAATATCCTTTCATCCGTGTTCCTAGGTATCTTGTGTTACATAAAATAGGAATTGAAAAGTTTAGTAAGTACTTTTTGGATTTTTGCTTTTAACCAGGGAAATATATTTTCATTTTCCTAAATTATTAATGATAAAGCTTGTGATGCCTAGTCCTCTTCCCTAGGGGAAGAGAGTCAGACTCTTTTGTGCAAGTGTGACCACTAGTGGCCTCACTGCTCAGCATCTGACCAAAGGTGGCCTGTGTCCTCAGGATGGGCTATTCAGCTAAGGCAATTAAATCAACCAGGATGGCTCTTTCCTGAATTTGGCTGGTAAGTAGAGAAAATATTGGCCATGGCAGTGAAACTATAGAGAAACTGACCACGTAGGATATAGACGATAGAGACCAGACCAGGTCCACAGAGCTACCTAGGTGCTAAATAATTTTCTAGCTTAAATTCTTCTTAACTTTGTAATAATCAGCCTTCTCCTTAAGCAGTCTGAATCTGCACCTGTTCCCCTCAAACACAAGAGTTTCAGAAATTTGTCTTAATTCAAAACACAGCACTGAAGAAAATATAAGCTATTATACTAGATACCAAAATAGGACATCTCTTCAATTCTAAGAATACATCTGAATAAGATAAACACACAGCCTTAACACAGATTTTCTGGAGCGGGGTACTGCCCCATTAAGTACACATGTATTGGTAATATATTCCAATTTCAGAAGTATTGAAAAGTAGGAAAGTACATATCAGACCTTAGGAAATGTGTTTAATTCTCTTCCAGAAGATATTGATATCAATAGCAAATTACAACTTTGACAAATTTCCCTTCAGGGATATGGAAAGGAGTTATATTTAGTAAAATTTCCAGCTTTACAAATAAGATAAGTTAAATATTCAGAACATTTATATTAGATGGTAAAGAAATTAACAATAAAGATTACAGGACTACTGGATAACCATGCATTCATTAAACTGTTTCTCAGTATTACACCCACTCGTTCCAAAAGGGAAGCCCAGCAGAGGGAAGTGACCTCCCATCCTCTGAACTGGAAGAAACAAAGTATAAGTGTGGCATGCCACTATTAATCTTTCTCAGAATGTCCTTCTTTGCTCTAAACACACACTGCACGGCTCTTGCCACTGTCTGAAGCGGCTGCGGAAGCCCTTTGTCGTGAGAGTTTACCTGCACTGTCACGGCTGCTCTATGTCCTGAACTGATTCAAAACATTTATCTTTCATGGTCGTTTTGACTTGTGGGAAGAGCCCACAGTCACAGGGCGCCAGCCCCCAGGAGCGAGGTGGGTGCGGGCACGGGATGGTATTTGTAAGCACCGCCTGCCTGCTGGACGGCACATCCTTAGCAGCATACTCCTCAGGGCATCCCACAAAGACACTCGCTGGAAAGGAACTCCACAGCTGGCTAGGAAAGCGGCAAGGACAATGGGGTCAGTGTGTCCAGAGGGAGAATAGTTGAGGGGCCATGCATCCTTTATTGCAGTAGATTTTTAAGTTAAACAGCATTTTTTATCAGTCCTTGTATAAAATTTTATGTATTATATCTGCTCTTTAAAAAAGGATCTGATTCAATGAGACTTTGAGATGTTTATAAAAATGGTCAGTGTAGTTCATTATAAAATTGAAAATGCAATATTTAGTATATTTATTTACACATATACACCCAACACACAAATGCATACATATACATTCATTCATTCATTCATTCATTCATTCATTTATTTTATTTTTTATTTTTCCAGAACAGGGAATCAAACTCATGACCTTGCGCTTGCCAGGCAGGTACTGTGCAGCTGAGCTACATCCCCAGCCCCCTACATATACATTTAGATGAATAGAATACACTTGATTATCTTGAAATTAAAATACTGAACTTGTTAAAATAATCAAGAATACTATCAGAAGTAACTTACTTATAATTTAAGTGTGATAGTGAATTTTGAGGTGAATTTGCTGTCATTCATGTTTTGCCATACATCCTAGTGGAACTCCTCTAATTCTGCTGAAAAGTGACATACCTAGAAAGCTGTGTCTGCTGCTTGCAAACTTTGGTAAAGATTGTAATACGCCTTTTCTTTACTTTTGAGACTCACTTAGAGTCTAGAAGTTATAAGACAGCATTGAAAACAACTGAAAATTTTAAGCTACTTTACTTATTCTTTTGCCTCGGGGAATATTTCTATAATATCTAAAACAAATTGCTCCTCTCTCCTATTTATAAATTCCTTGGAGGTGGGGGTGACCCTTAATAAAATACTTCAGGATTCAGTGAAAAGAACTGTCAGCAAGTTCTTTATGGCCATGGTAAATTACACACTATGGAAGAGAAATGCTTGAACATTTAAACATTTGAACGCTAGCTGTAACTTTTTTATAAACCCAACAGTACCTCCATGCCTGCGACTTTCTGCCTGGCTCCTGAGGGACACTGGGATTCTGTCTTGACAACTTACCTAGGGAGGGCTAACTCTTCGTCTCTGGATCTTCAGCAGCTGACAGTGCTGACTTACTCTCCCTTAGTCCCTACTCCCAGTAGGTCACTGTGACCCAAATGATGACTAGTGTTCTCATACAACAGAGACTAACACTGCGAACTCACCTTCAAGAGAATGCATTCGTTTGAGTACGGACTCCTGCCACCTTTTGTGGACAACTGACCTCAAACTCTGATGTCTGACACATTCCTAATTTATTCTACCTCCCCGCAGGCTTTTTTAAAAATAGGCTCTAGTTATGTGAACGGCAAAGCCAACACATAATACTGGGGTTTGGTCTACCCTAATATACTAACTTTATTCTCAAAAGCCATGAAATGTGTAGGTCAGGGATGTGCCCATCACCCATACGCTTCTTAAGACCAAGTGGTATTATACACCAAAAGGAAGTTCTTGAGAGCTGCTACAGTCTCCAATGATAAGCAGGAGCCCTTCCTCGTGTAGACATTAAAGAAACTACTTTGGGGCTTAAAAGGACAGGTGTGAATACCAATATTTACCATTAAATATGAATACTGAATTCAGGAAAAAAAAACAGCTTAATTGAAATAAAAACATTTAGCAGGTACACCTTTGTTATTGACTGAACAGAATGTCTGCATCTTCCTCAAAATTTATGTGAAACCCTAAATCATAATGTGATGGGGAGAATGTAGGGAGGTACTATAATTAGATTATAGAGGTGGACCCCTCATGAATGGGATTAACGCACTTAATTGACAGATATGAGAACTTATTCACTCTCTCCGCCATGGGAGAATACAATAAGAAGACCAAAGTTTACAAATCAAGAACAGAACCCTCACAGATAGTGGATCCTGGAATCCCCAGTTTCCAGAACTGGGAGAAATAAACGTTTGTTATTTAAACTGCCTCGTCTATGATATTCTATTACAGCTGCCTGAAATGATTAAAATAAGCCTTAAATGGAAAGATAGGAAGAATAAAGGGTCTGAGAAGGATACAAAGAAGACCTGAACTAGTCTCTTATTTATTATTGATTTAAATATACCCCCTCCCCTATCTGGGTGAATGGATTATACACGCTCATGGAAAGGATTCAACAAATAGTTCTTATGCACCTAATTATATGCCAGGCAATGGGAAAAGCACCTTCTGGGGTGACTTATAGCAAGTCTAGAAAAAGATGTGCTTTTCAAATGAATAACAAAACTTCATTATTAGACACAGGAAGTCACTAGAATACTAAGTTTGGATTCTTTCCTATATAGTTTCCCTTGGCTTGAATGATAATGATCATACACTACAAAAACACTTTCCCTGAGGACAATGTATTTTTACATGTATTATTTTATTTGTCATTCAAAGTCTGTGACTCTGTTTCATAGTTGAAGATACTGAGTTGCTATGATTTGTGTGCCTCATGCATCACAGGGTCTTTCTGGAGGTGGCTGAAACTATAGTGTCTGATTGATTTGTATTGCAATGTTGGAATTAAGGCTGCTAGGATTAAGGGTGGGTGATCAGCCCACTGATTGGATAAGCAATGTCCTAATCCTGGTGGACTGAATACAATATAAAAGGGGCAGAAAAAGGCTTGTCTCTGTTTTGTTGCTTTTGCTGTCTTCTGCTGCCATGAACTGCTGCCCTCTGCCATGTGCCACCCTGCTTTGGAGCCAGCCAAGTATGGACTGAAACTTCTACAAATGGTGAGCTAAATAAACCTTTCCCCCTTTAACTTTGGGTGTCAGGTATTTTGTCTCAGCAATGAGAAAAGTAACCAAGACATGAGTTAAAGAGGCAGTAGTTACTTTCTT